GGACCAAGGCACTCCCAAACCTCATACCTCGCGTGACGAGAACTGTCTAATCTACACATTCGAATGGAGTCGCCACTAGCCATAATTAAGGGTTGGCTAGAAATCCTCATCGAGACATGGAAAGATCGTCTCGATACGTACGAAAACCAGAGATTCTAAGGATCGGGACTTGATTACACCAGCGATCTAACTAGTGATATTTTGGTACTTAAACTTGATTGTTTGCAAACTAACGTACCAGGTCAGCCTATCGAAAAACCTAAAGTTCATCCTAACCATGCTAAAATGGAAAATAACAACCGATGTATAAAAGATACACAACCAAATAATCGACATGAAAATAAACAACCAGCAACCTAGCATCGTCTCTAAAAAGGAAAAGGCAATCAAAAGTCCTAAGGTAAAGCCCTAAAGGCTTATCCGATTTTAGGGAAATTTTTAAAGATTTTCATATTTTTTCTAAGTTTTTAAACTAACTCTAGAATGAAATTGACACTAAAATCTAGTGAAATTAACTCAAAAACTAATTTCTAAGCATTTCCTAATTTTTCGGAATTTTCGGAATTTTTCTGAATATTTTAATATTTAATATTTTTAATAATAATAAAAAAGGGACCTCGAACCGGGTCAGGGGACCCGGTCCAATTCAGCGCCGATCCGACCCACCCGGATTATGCCCTAATAATATATTCTCTTTTTTTCATTTCTTTTCTATTATCTCTTTTTTCCTATTTCTCTTTTCTCTTTATTTTTTATTGTTTCCTCCCCCCACGTCTTCTTTTTCCTCACAAACTCACGCTGGGAGCTCACCGAGAGCCTCCTTCCTCACGCCTCCAGCCGAGACCACGCCGGGAACGTCATTGCCCCTTGACCGCCGGCTCGCGCAGCCAACACCGACGACCGCCACCGGCTCGACACCCTCGCCGCCGGCCAACGCGGCTACCAAATCGTCGACTAACCCCGACCATAAAAATGAGTCGACGAGCAAAAACTCGATTTCCCGGCCCCCAAACTCACGGCCACTAGAGTAACATTAAACCTAAGCAACCAAACATACACGACATGGAATAGAAAATAACGAACTTATGGTGGCGGCCTTGAACCACAGGCATCACCGTTGACGAAAAGCTTTCGAGCGGGTGGGAGGTGCGCACATGGCGGCCTCAAACCGGAGTAAATATGCCACAAAATCACATGAAAGAAAAAAATAACTTGGAGTCAGTGACAATATTAGAACAAACCATGCATAAATCGAAGCTCTAGAGCATCGGTTTTCATAACATTCATCTCGGGCCTCTCTTGAGCATTTTGTCAAACGGGTGGTAGGCGAGTTGAAACAGAGACTCAAAACTGAGATTTAGGGCGATTTTTGGCTCAAATGTGGTGTGAAAAAGGTATAAACAGTCATTTATACCATTAAACTGCTTCTTTTTACAATAGAACTCCAAAAATTGACACGGTCAGGTTTGGACGCTCTAAGCTTAAACTGTTTCACTGATGCATTTTGTCAAACATGTAAGGTGCGACCGAGAAGTAGGGTCACAGGTCCGATTTTGACACGGCTCGTGGCCTATTTTCGATATGCAACGTTTAAAAAAACTTCTTTGAGTGCCAAACGAGTGTTATCCTCCATTTTCGGAGCTAGACAAGCAACGAACAGATTCGATGTGTCCGGCTCCCGAGAGGCAGGGGAAGGGAGCCAAAACAGAGCAAAATGAAAACGTGGACCTACCTGGTTCGAGAACAGCACGGAATCGGCAACGTTGACAAAGGATGCGAGTGGTTGGACTCTTCACGGCTGCTAGAGCTTGGTCTCCGTGGTGATTTGGTCTTGATATAGACTATTCACAGAATCGAACGGTGTCTGGAAAACATCACCGGCGGTCGGAAACTGTGGCGTCCGGCGACAGTGAAGAGGCGACTGGAAGGGGGAGGAAATTTTCCGGCAATGCTCCCGGAAAGAGGGACCGGAGCGCTTTCCTTTTCAAAACCCCCCGCCCGTTTTTTTCATTTCTCTCTCGTTTCCCGATCGAATTCCCTCTCCCCCTCTCTCTCGAAAACTCTCTGTGCCCTTAAGGGCCACGGCACGCGCCCATGGCTTCCTGCCACTGCCAGCCTGCTGCGGCCGGCCAATTCCCGACCAGCGGATCAGCGCTGGTCTCTGCCCCCCCTGTCGCTCCTGCTTCCCTGCTTCGTCCTGCTCTGTCTCTCTGTCTCCCCTGAGCATGAAGGACGGGGGAAGGGGAAAGAGGAGCAGAAGCGGGCCGGGCCGAGGGGAAAGGAACTGCGGCCAACCCGCGTGAGAAAAAGAAACGGAAAAGGAAATAGGGCCGGGCCGGGCCGACCCGATCCACTCGAACCGGGTCGAACCGGCCCGTACCTTTTTTTAATTAATTTTTTTTAGAAAATATAATTAATTTTTTAAATTTTTTTAATTAACAAGACAAATATGTTCTAATAGACCCTATTAGTGCAAATGCACCTAATGTCTATATGCCATGTAATTTAATGAAAATATTTTTGTTTTTGGGTTAAAAATCAATCCCTAATTTTCTATGCAATTAAACCTTAAATGACTAGGCAAAATTTAAGTGTCAACAACTGGCCACCAGCCATAGGTGATGGCCGGACAGGTTGGCCTCGCTTGGACAAGGATCTCCGTTGCTCGCCATAGGTGAGGGCAAGCCACGGTGAGGGCTCCCCTCGCCAGATCTAGCGAGGCCAGCCCTCGCCTAGGCCAAGGCGGCCTCGCCGAGCGTCGCTTGAGTGAAGTCAATGGTCGGCGAAGCCGACCCTCGTTGAGTTTCATTTGGACGAGGGCGAGCCCCGGTGAGGGCTCCCCTCACCATATCGGTCGAGGTCAACCCTCGCCCGGGCGAAGGCAATACCCAGCAAGGCTGACCAGGCCCGGGCCAGGGCCAACCTAGCTAGATTTGGCGAGGGGAGCCCTCGCCCTCGCCCGCTCGGGCCCCCTCCTATGGCGGGCAATAGTGACCCTTGCCCAGGTGAGGCTAGCTCGCGCGGCCATCACCCGTGGCTGGTGGCTAGTCACCGGCAAAAGGAGGAAGAAGAAATGAAGAAGAAAAAGAAATAAATGAGAAAAATAATTACAAAACTAAAAAAATATTATTAAAAATTTTTCATGTCAACTCCAGTCGTGCCACGTAGGGCCACCGACATCCACATTAGCGATTTCCGATCAAAATTGACCAGATGGACTCAATTGGCAAAATATAAATGCTATGTAGGGCCACCGACATTCACATTAGCGATTTCCGGTCAAAATTGGTTAGATGGACTTAATTGGCAAAATATGAAAGTTTAGGACTCAACTGGCAAAATTGAAAGGTTTAGGACTAAATTGACAAAAGTGCAATAGGTTTAAGATTTTTAGACAATTTTTCCTTTATTTACCCATCCCTATGATTATATAATTATAGGTAAAGCATAATTGGAAAATAGTCAATACAATTTGTAATCCCGTAAACTAGTGTCAAGTTTCTATGTTCGACTTTAAGTCCTTTAAAAAAAAAGAGTGATAAGGCATTTCCTAATAAATCTTGCACGAAAGAAGACTTCGACAAAGAAGCTTTTTTTTTTTTTTTTCTAATAGGATACCTTTGCGCAAGCCCTCCAATCACATTGTTTTTACTAGAGACTTCAAGAACTTTTATTCTTCATGACGAGGAACCAAAAAGGACTCCCGTTATAGGTTTGCAAGGATTTGCCCATGGAGATCCTCAATCCTCATTTTGTGTCAATCCTAGTTATTTAAGTAGGATGACACATTCACCGATTTTTTACACGAATAGCAAGTTTCTAGCCAAAGAAAGTATCGAAAGAAAGTTGGACCTGGATTGGGATCCCACGAATGTGATATGGATTGAGAAATAGCAAGAGGATAATCTAAACAGCGGGAGGACTTACAGGCCGGTACGACTTTCAAACTGTGAAGGTAATTGCAGCAACGAGTTTATGTACATCCCAAAAGTGCACAAGGAAAGTGACTCAGGTGCTGATTAACAAAATGAGAGACCATCAAATAAGGATTGAGGATCTCCATGAGACAAAGGCTTTAAACTAAATCTTTAGGCACCTCTTTGATGTTGTGCTTCTCAAGAAGAGTAATCCAAGTCGTCAAAATCGTACAATCGTTCAGCTGTTTGATCACAGTAGGCTTCTCTATCTCGTCTTTTCCATGAATTCCAACCATCATCTGATTTAGTTAAAGCCTTTAAAAGCCGACATCTCAGACTAAGTGAAGAGTGCTGGAGCGCAACAAATTCCTAGTTGTTCTCAATGACATTCCTCAACTCCTAAATCTGGAGTCAGTCAAATGGGATTCCTGATCCAATGCCATGAAATGGCATCGAGGTAATCTTGGTGACTAAATGAGAACGTGTATTCAGCGAAATGGCGGTGGACAGGATGCTAAGTTTGGATGATCATCTTTCTTGGGAGCTATTTTGCTACCATGCAGGTGGAATAGTTTACTCTTCGGAAATTCAAGATATAGCCAAAGAAATAGCTAGATAGTGCACTCATGATTCCACAGCGACTATTCTAATGGCACAAGCAATGGAGGATGTGCATGATTCTTCATATGAAAACATGCTCTTAAAACACTGACCCTGCAACCTGCAATTTCTGGAGAAGGTATTGAAGCACAGTGTTGAGGTTGAGCACTGAAGGTCCAGATCAGATGACAATAAAAGTAAAAAGTATTTAAGAGATCTCTTACTTCATAGCAAATACCACGAGATAGAAACTGAGTGTCTGAGATGGATAAGGGATGGTATGGTAAATAAGTCCAAAAATCTTGTATATGCTAACTTACTAAATTGGTGAGGATGGAAGATTTGTCAAGTTTCAAAATATGGATCAGCATGTGTCGGCGAACTTACGACTACAAGGCAGCTATAAATGACATAATCCTCTTCTTGCAACTGAAGGCTCTCTCCTGCTCTCTCCTTAGATGAATTGAAGCAAACCTCTTGCGATCACGGGTGTCTGCAATACTTGTAGAGAATCTCTTTCTCCGCTTGGCAAATGCATTGTTCGCATTCAGTGTCGTCATAATAGTCGATGTCGCGCACCCATCCTCTCCTCTTGCAATGTTCAGTCTTCATCTGGCAGTCACAGCCAGGAAGCTCTTCTTTGAAGATAATCGGGTTATTCTGCCACATGTTGTGCACGGTGTCTACATACATCTTGCGGCATTCCACCACTTGCCCGCTCGAGTAGACTTTTCTCAGCAAGCGGACTCCTTCCTTCTTCAACTCGCCGCCCTCGGCGACGAGGAGGAGCCCGACAACATAGGAAGCTCCAAGGTGCCCGATTTGCGTGGCTCTCGACAGTAACTCCATTCCTGACTCCACCTTTGTGAGACATACATATTCATACTGCAACATAAACAAATTGTTGATGGTCAATTTCTAGTTTTGAAGAAAATTATATGGAAAAAGTAGAGAGATAAAAAAATGTAATCAAACACTTACCAATCCTTGTCTATACAAAGCCTCCACATTATCGCATTTGATACACCTCTGAATAAAGGCATTGCCTTCTTTGGGGTGCCTCCATAATATCCTTGAAATTTTGTTGAGTGATATTCGTCGATATATATAATCATCTTCAGCCAATTCATTAAACATCTTGCAACTACATAGACAAAAGAACAAGTTTTCACGATTTATCAACTAATATTTATCAGGCTTACTATTGGCGAAAATAATTATTTTTAACAAATGTTTCTGCTCTTAAAAAGTTTCTATACTTTTTTTACTGTCAACTTTTCAATGGTACAAAAGGTTTATTATACATTAAAATAAATGATTAATTTACTTTTCTAACGATAAAGCAAGCTTCTACGGAGTTGAAACTTAATTAGCGCCAGATTGTTAAAAGAAACTTAATTAGCCCTAGGTTTTTTAAATTCTCTACAATCATCAATCCCTTAATAAATTAATCAACCGTTAGAGAATACTTTTATGAAAGGGTAGATTAGATCGGTACCTTAGTTTTGCATTGAAAATATCATCCATGGAGTTGGCGGCGACTGAAGCAAGAATCTCCACCACTAGATCATTAGGAAGAACATCGAAGGCTCCAATCTCCATAGCTCTCAGGAATGGTGATGCGGTGTGATTTTGATCGTTATAATCGTTATCTAATTCAAATAAATGCAGAATTTCAGCATAAATAAAAGGGGATATGACAAAATTGGTAGACACTACGGACTAATTTGATTGAATCTTGGTATGAAAACCTACTAAGTGACAACTTTCAAATTCAAAGAAATCCTGAAATTAAAAATGGGCAATCCTGAGCCAGATCCTGTTTTACGATAACCAAGAAAACAATAAGGATTCATAAAGCAAGAATAAAAAGAAGAAGAAGATAGAAACACACATTCCACTCGAATTTTTAGGGGTATCGCACGTTTTTAAAGACAAAGCACATTTCGCAATTTTCTATCCTCCATTTGCGTAGCATTGGTCTCTAGGCCAAACACTTTCCCCGAGTCATGGGAGTTTGGTGGCAATTGAGACGTTGATCGAGTTCTACGACCTCATCACGCGAAATACGACTCAATTCGCGGATTAAACTAGCGTGGATTTTTGAAGTTAAGTTTGGTGGCAATGGAGTCTTTGATGATTACCCACATTCTAGAGGAGCGTTGGTACGTGTCTTAAAATTTTTCATTACTTTGCATTTCCATTATTTACGAGAACTGACATTCATGAGGAGCTTTGCTATGACTGTAAGAGTTAAAATATTTCCCAAATTCTCGGACTTGAAGACAAGCTCTAATTTCACAGCAAAACAGGGATAAAGAGAAAATAAAGAAAACGCACAAATTTGAGCAACGGGATACTTTTTGTCCTTTGACATGGATACCAATTAAGACAAACTTAAAAATTGTCCATATTATTAAAATGATACAATGATGCAAGAGAGCATCGTTCATATTCCTTCAAAGAAAAGCTACATTGCATTACAGGTTCCATGGGAAATTCATACAGGTTTGAGGTCAAACTAGAAAGGGCAACAGGACCACTTGAAAATAACATGGATAATGCGGATGCGAGAGAGAGAGATTGCAGGTTAGCGGTCTTACTAGTCCACTTAATTGAGTCCATATCTTAGGTTTCTATCTGGACACAGAAAGGAAACCACCCTTACTACAGGTCTTAGATGTCTTGCCAACAGATTCAATGACTTAGGCCTCCATTTATCGAGAAAATAATCAGTGATTACAAAGCGCCGTGTCCTAAACATCATCATCATTACTATCAAGCTAATCAAGGCCAATTTTCCTAATCAATTATATAAAAAAAAATTTCTATATAATTTTCGGATTTTTTAATTTTTTATTAATCCCAAAAATAGGGACTCGGTCTGGGCCCTTGAGCCCGGTCCGATTGTAGACTGATGTGGTCTTACGGGTCTGGGCAACAAGTGCAAATGGGCTTACTATGTAAGCCTCTTTCAATTAAAATCTCACGAGCCCAATTTTTAATTTTAACACACAAAGCTCATTACTTATGGTGACTACGGTAGCCCACTTTCACTTCTAACTGCACCAAGTCCATCTTTAAGCCCAATTTCTAACCCTAACCCCACGCTAACCCCAATTTATTGTTTTCTTTTTATCCAGTTTTCCTCTGTTCTTATATTTATATTATTTTGATTTCTTTTCCATGGGCTCCTGTTCTCTTAATGCTTCATCGTGAATCAAAACAGTGAAATCATTAAAAAAACTTCACCTAAAATCGAAAGTTTCCACAGTATTCTTCTTCAAGCGATTTCAACCAAAACTCTTCAAATAGTCTTATGCGTTAACGAAATGATTAATCTACATCAATATGTTCTCAGACCAGACAAAAGTATGAGCTATTTCAGAAACATACCATGCGTGCATTGAGACTATTAAGATGTGGTCATGACATTGATACTGTTTCTCATCTAAAATCAGTATTTGAACCAACAATGTCATCACGAGTCATTAAGAGAAAGACTTAGATTAACTCAATGATAATATAATCGAGCAACACGTACACAACTCAGATTTTGCGTATAACCGAAACAGAGGAAACAAGAGCAATGAAATCAAGTGAGATGAAGCTACGCTTACTGGTTGAATCAAGACGAACGAAAATGGCACCGACGGATAGAAGCTGCAGGTGAGGTCTGACTTTCAAGTTTCCTTAACTAGTAAACGGGACGAGACAAAGCTGGTGCGATTCACGGTTTCCTGTTGTGAAGCAGGGGAGAACAAAGTATCTCCGAATCTGAGGCAAGTAACAAGATGGTGAGATACCACTTATCTTACCAAAAAAAAAAAAAAAAAAAACAAGATGGTGAGACAAGTGACAGGGCCGGAGAGAATAAGCCCCGACAGAGATAAACGGACGAGCACGGAGCAACGGTAAGACAAATGTATTGCCGGAAGGAGCACTTACCGGGGAAATTACCAAGGAATCTGACTACGGCTTCGGGATAGTGCTCGGAGGATGATCCAGCAGGCCTTTACTCGGAAATGTGAATGACGAGGCTGAGAGATTTGAGAAGAAGAAAACAGAGTGCCGATGAGAGTACTGGAGGAGATAGTGATGAGCTCGTAAGTGTACGTACACAGCTAAAGCAGTCCTCATTATCGTAAATGTAAATACATCGCTCTCATTCTCTTAAATGTTATTTTAACAGAGTGAGAGAGACATCAGGCAATAAACAAAATCGAAGTAACTTCTTGAAAGCCTTTACATGTTCGCTCTCTGCACAAGAAACTTTAGCCATGTGATACCCAATCCTCTGGTCATTTCACAGCTAGTACAACTCCGTTTATACATTTAGGGTGCGTTTGCTTCGGGAAAAACTTTATGATAAGTAAAAATACTTTCCAGAAAATCATTTATTAGGAAAATGGTTAGTTTTCTTTTATTTGGTGATGTGTGACTGAAAGCGTTTTTTTTTTTGTGTTTGGATCTTATTTGGAAAAAAATTTCAATTTCATAACTTTATCTTAGACAAAAAAAATATTGAGTTTTTAAATAATTTTTTATTTTATTTTTTTCTTTTCCTTCTTCCTCTTCCATCGGTTGCCGGGCCTCGACGATGGCTGCGACAGGCCATTAGCAAGGCCCGACCTAGCCGGCATGGGGCGAGGTCGAGCCTCGCCGGCGCGCGCTTGTGGCCAATCATTGGCCGTCGCCGAGGCCTAGTGACTGGGCGGAGGAGGAAGAAGGAAAAGAAAAATAGAAAAAAAGAAAAAAATTAAAATATTAAAAATGCAAGAGAAACGATGCCGGAAAGTGTTTTCACCTTCTTAGATTTAGGAATTCACTTTCCTAATTTTATGCATGAATATTTTTGACTGAAAGTATTTTCGATTGACTAATCATTTTTGGCGAACCAAACAGGTGTAAGTTCAGAAAATTACTTTCGACAAAACACTTTTTCTCCGACAAACGCACCCTTAGAGTTTGCAATGGATTGTTGACAAAAAGTGGCTTTGCTTGAAGTTATTCCAAAAGCACGGTGAACAAATTGGAAGTGTTAAAAAGCTCATTTACCTGATTGAAAATAGCAACAGAATGAACTCCAAGAAGGTAGTTCATCCTAAGCTCCGCTTAACAAGTTTAAGAGGTCAAGGTAGCAGGTAATGGTTTTTGCTAGATGCCCATAAATTCCGGATCTGCTCATCTAATCAAGAACAATGTACTTGATATATCTTTTATTGTGTTTTAAGATGCTGCCGCGAACCTCTGCTCTAAGGATACATACACAACTACTTGATTTGTTGATAAAGATCTGAACTTTTTAGTTCCCATCTTTATGACGGGAATTTTGTGTTTCCAGTTTGTATAGTTAGTTCCTATGGCATTTCATCCTATGACCTTAGCTTGGTTAATACTAACAATTTCTTAATTGCTGCAGCCATATGCAATTGATGTTGATGTTGATGTTGGCCAGTCAGGGAGGGGCGCAGTCCTCAAGGGTTTGGACTTGGGTGTTCAAAGCATGCGAGTAGGCGACCAGGTACTATATATATATATTATTTATTTATGGGAGCGTGATATAGCTTTGTCAATTTTTCATTTCACCCTATTCCATTGATGACTGATTACTAGGTTGTTATGAATACGTGTCTTCAGAAAAAAAAAATGCAGCCATTTATTTTATATATAATCGACTTCGATGCATGATGAACAAACATTTTGCTATTATTCGAATAGGAGTTACGTGGCTTATATTCTCTACTTCATCATCGTTCATAGATCCACAAGCTCCTATGCCGAATTAATTAAACCATGCAAGTTAGATGAATTACGTTGGCGTTATTTCTATGCCAAATGCATTATGACATCTTTTTTTTATATGCAATCCCCGGGCCCTTTTCATTTTTAGTGTAATGTTAAGACAGGTCTGCAAAACTGGTTTACTAAGTGACATACTGTTATTAGACGGTAGAAGATGGCCCTTTGTGTAAGTGCACGCCACTTGGTGAACCGATTTCTGTATATTTAGCAATTCTCTGATGTTTTATGGCTTAACAGTGGAAATATTTGACATTTCTGAGAAGGATTCGACTATGTCATCTTCCTAGCACTTGGGTTTGGTTGCAGATTAAGAATCACAGACTCACGAGATGACTTCATCTCAGTTAACGTTTCTTCGGACATGGGAAAGGAAAACACATGATCATGATCATCCGCACAAAACATAGATGGTGCGTGAAACTTCACGAGCATCGTTACACGAAAACTAGAGATTGCCTAGTACTGACAAGCGAAGAGAGGCATTTTACCTTCTGTTGCTGACTTGCGAGTTGTTCTCTCTCCTTGTTCCCTGTGAAGAAGAAATGCTACGTTTCACCTGGTTCACACAGAGCAGAATGTAACGAGGAAATTAAACTCCGACCGCAGAGTCTCTTAGCGAAGAGAAGTTTTGCTAACAACAAAATGCATGCTTTTACACTTATATTTCCACTGCTTGCTGTGATCCTCCGAGAATGTTTGCCATCACAGGTGGTTCTCTTCCAGCTTTCTTGTGTGTTTATGGGTGTTTTTGTGTGTTTGTGTGTGTGAGGTATTAGGTTGCGGAGACTGCCTTCTTT